TCAATTGTCGTAGGAAATAAGTGAAAAATTTTTTATTTAGTTAACTTTAAATTCAAATCAATTTAATCAACATACATCAAATTTATCATATTGTTACATATTATGAGCTAACGTTCATATTATGATAAGGTGCTCAACCATATACGCTTAACATTGCCTGAGATAATTATGTACATATGAGAGAGTAAAAAGTTCCCATAAATCTATCGGCTGGAATATTGAAATTTCAATATTCGAATAACTTTCGCTAGATAATTTTTCCCTCACTAACCCTCTCAATTAGTTAATTGCTACTTATTAGATTATTGTTTTCTGATTAAGTGAATATTGTGACGACTCTCATCACTATATTAACGTTTTGACGCGCTTATCTTATTAGTTGATGTATTATAATAAGTAGATGATGATAATACCAAAGGTGTTGACAAAAGATAATCAATTTTACGCTTACTTAGATAAGCCGAATGTTAAGAAATGTTGTCACCACTAATACGTTGGCACATTAAGTGAGTGTTAGGACAACAACAACAAACGGTTAACATGAAGAAGGGAAAAAAAAGAAACCAGGTAACAATAGGTTATAATCTTTTCTTATTTTTGCATTCGAAAAGTAAGATAATATTTTCATTATTTCTCATTCTTATTACTATCATCAGACAATTATCGAATTTGCTTTTTTTCGAAACTAATAAACATCGCTAATTATCTTATTACCTGTAGAGAAAAAGGGACCACCCTTGATAAACATTAGAACAGGTTGGTACGTAAGTTGGGGGTGGACTGTGGTCAAGAAGAAGAGAAATTATTATAAGCACAAATATTAGCATTAGAACAATGTCAATGGTCGAAAGAAAATTTTTTCTTATTCCTTTTTTTTTCTTTTTTCTATTCTATTAAAAGAAGAAAAAAGAAATGAGAAGCAAAAGTAAATAGAAATAGAGAGAAAAAACTTCTTCTTTTCTAAAGTAGCCAAGTTTTTTGTTCTTTTCTCATATTTACCTGTAACTCGAAACCCAGGTAAATGTTTCAATGGTTTCAGTCTCTTAAAAACGTTAGAACGTCAAAGATTGAAGTATATTAGCAATCGATTGTTGAATCATTTACTTTAATTTAAGATGCAAATTTTTAATTGATTAGATTCTGTGTGTGGTCTTATGATATCCCTTTTCATGATGATACCGGAAAATAATGATTAGTTAATTGTGAGGTTGGTCAATTGGTCTAATGTTTCCAATTTGTTTCCATCATTTATTGGAAAATATTACCTATCGATTCATGGGATTGAAACGATTCTCATGATTATATTTTCTCCTATATGAATGAATAGACTTTCAATTGTGATTCTGAAAAAGTTTTATTCTATATTTTGATTGCCTCCAGGCGATTATGAACATTATAGTTGATTGTTATCCAACACTTGATAAAGACTTTTAATCTAATTTATTGTTAACATTGTCATCATCTTATTCTCCTTCAAATGATTAATTAATTTGATTGTTTTTCGTTTGTTGTTATTAAATGATGACGATGGATAAAAACTTCGAATCCTTATCATCCTTCTTGAACACTGGACTTGCGATATTTGATCAATATCCTGTTTCGGTTAATTCCTGATGATTTATGATCGGATTTAAGGTGGATTACATTGGTTAAATATCTTAATTCTGTTCTGATTCCTTCATTCAAGTTTCATCAGTTTTATCATCAGAGTAAATATTATCTGTTCACAGTTTGTCAAACCCGAATCATGTTGATAACAATTGATAATCGGAAAACAATCAACAATTTATTCAAGCAAAAATATTTATTCATCTGATTGTTATGTATTATAAAAATGATTACATGATGATGATTATGATTATACTGATGATGTTGTGATGGTAATAACTGTTTCCAATTAAAATATGAAACCAATACAATGAAATCGTTGAGATGATCAAAAATCATACAGAAATGATAATATTAATAACAAGTAACAATTATTATTCTCATGATTCAGAATAATTTTTTTCCTCATAATCATGATAATTCAATGATATTATTATTTTTACATATCATTGAGGAGATGATTAGATGATTGTTTGGGATGAGGAAGGAGGAAAAGAGGAGGAGGAAGATGGAAAGATGAAGGAAGATGAGGATGAGGATGAGGAGGATGCGTGGTTTTTGTATCAAAACAAACAAAGATTCAAGTATTATTATTATTAGGAATTGATCATGATGATGATGAAAAAATGATGAGCAAAAAAATCAATCTGTAGTTGACATGATATTCAATGGAGAAACTTGAACTAATTAGTTAACTGTCATCCCGAATGATAATAATAACAAAGAATTAATTTCATCTAATCAAGTTATTGTTATCAAGTATATCATCACTAAATTGTTGGTAATCAATTATGATTACCTATATACATGTAAATGATTAAATTAATTGTACATGTATTAGCAGAAAAGTTTATTAATAAATTGTTTCACCTCTTGTGCTTTTGTTAATTGTGATTAATTTTTTGATTATAATTAGTTTTTGGGCAAAAAGTAAACATTATTAAGGTAAATTAATATTCATCCTTTCATTTATTTGCATATTAATTACTGGTTAATTGGTGAATTAATATTTTACAATCTGTAGCAATTAAGTTTTTGCTTTCTATCAGTTTACATTTCAATTTAATTTTCGTCAATTAATTCAATGTTCAATAGGATTATGTTTCAAATTCAATTCTCTCATTGATACATTGATTCTTAATTGTGTTTAATTTTTTGCTTCATCGTCAATTGATTACATTAATCAGCAGAGAATTAATTTACGTGAGGTATCTAAGGTTACTGATTAATTAAAGTTTCTCATCATTTAGCTCATAAGTTTTTGGTAATATTTACAGAAATGATAAATTAATTGTAGAGAGTAATCAAATCTTTTACTATTAATAATATTACTAATATTTAAATAAGTTATTAGCTGATAATTAAGTTCATTTTTAAGATTGATTTTTTTTACAAGTGATCTTAGGATTATTCATTTGATTAATAGTGATGACGATAATTTGGTAGCATAATCTGATTCTGTTATAATGATAATCAAATTAGAGGTTTAAAAAGGTCAACTGAAGGGTGAAAAGTTAACAATTTAACTACAGGGAGGCAATCAAATTAAATCTACAAATAATATGATTGAATAAGATGAAGAGAGAGAGAGAGAGAGAGAGAGAGAGAGAGAGAGAGAGATGAATTGAAAGCTGAAAAAAGGGAAAATCTAATAATAGCCTAAGGTAAGAAGATGAAAAATCCGTTTTCAAAGGCAATCTTCATCTTAGCATCATCATTATCATCATAATCATCTGATTGTTGTTGACAAAGCTAATTGAATCAACTCTTATCATCATTATTTTTTTTCACTCCCAGTAAATTAGCCTTGTAAACATAAAATTTAGCTTATTTAATCATTATCTTTACTAGGATGATGATGATGATAAACTATCATCATCAATATCACTTGAGGCAATCATATTAGAAGGTAAATTTTTTTCTCTCTCTCTTCATCTTCTTCTCGATGACTTTGGCTTTAGTTAACTCGAACTCGATTAAAGTACATTCGAGTGTAATAATACAAATTGTCAGTCATGTGTACGCTTGGAGGAGATGAAGTCATGTCTTGTCAAGGAATCCAATTTATCCTTTATTATTATCGATAAGGGGTCTTCCTTTGCTTCCTATTAATATGCTATGAGAACAGTAAAAAATATGAATTGTGTTATTATCTTGTTAATCAAGTCAAATGGAAAAGAAAAGATAACAATCATCAATGTTAATCATCTGATTAGTTTTTGTAATTAGACGATTGATTAGAGTTTTTTTCGCAACTAATGCTTGGTACCTTTTTTTACTCAATCTATTAAGATTTAGGTCTTATTAATAGTAATAGTTATCTTTGTTGAGACTGGAATAGAATTGTAAATTTTGGTGATCCATGATGATTGTGATCAAAGGACAAGATTTAAAGTTTTTTTCTTCCAACAAAAAGAGATGAGACTTTAATCTGATTTCTATTGGAAAAATTTTTGAGTGGGATTAAGCAACTTCCATTCACTGTTATGTGTAAGAGATAAACGATAAGAGATAGAGAGGGAAATGTAAGATGGATTAATATTTGATGCAGATATTGGATGAAAGATGAAAGATGAAAGATGAAGGATGGAGGATGTAGGATGAGGGTGGAGTAGAAAAGGTAAAATTATCAAGAGTCTTGAGGTTGATTAAGGTTTTCATTGATTTTCCTTTGACTAAACTTTTTTTTCTGATTTTTTTCTGTACTTTAATGGTTGAGGGTGAATCTTGATTGTTGGTGTTGTTGTTATTTACTTTTTACATTAAATTATGTCTTAATCAAGAGATTTGAATCAAGTTTTCTGAACAACCATCGATTGGAGCTGTTTGTTAAATTGATAAAAAGTGAATCAAGAGTAGTTGTTACAATTTAATTCATTTTTCAAGAGAGATTAAAATCTATCATTAATCAGCGGGGAGTTTATGAGTTTTGATTAGTAAAAGTAATTAAACTCTAGAGAAATGAATTAATGTTAATTCCAATTTAATTTCTTTCACTTACACATACATAAAATCATTTTTTTCTGTTCGAACAATTTTTAATTTTAATTAATCTAAAACACTCAAATTTTGCGTTAAAATAAAAGTAAACACTAATTGTAATCGTTCAAAACTAATCATACATTATCGATATAATTGGAAGTTGCGATTCGAGTAATTAACAAGGCACATTGGCTGAACTGCGACATTTGGTAACTATTAAATTATTTGGTTAAATTTTAGAGCTACGCAAGAAAAATTTGCTTATTGAAAATCACATATTAATTAGAATCAATTGTAATTAAAGAAACAATAATGAACAATTAGTTTGAATATTTTTCGAACAAAAAATCGAGCAACTAGCGCCATCTGTCAATCGAAATACTAAATGTAACCATATGATTTTCTCATTTTTTCATTTTCATTTGGGTTTAATTTGTTTTTGCTGATTTTGGTTAATTTGTTAAATTAAATTGTATCATTTTTAACTTGATTTTTCTTACTCCTTATTGAACATGCAAGCTCTCCGATGTACACGGCTTGCCTTACAGTCGAATTTATTTTCATCTGTTAATTTAATCCAGTCAAATAATCTAATTAAGTCACTTGTTAATTCATTTGTGCTTCAACAACCAAAATCTTTAATTGCCTCTGTAAATCACCAACAGATCCGTGGTTTAAAACATAGAGATATGTTAACTCTTCGGTGCCCTGATTGTTATTTTAAAAAAGTAGAAGACGAATGGTTTGTCCTTTGTCCGACTTACCCTAGACACAAGCAAGTTGAACGTGTTTGGGATATCAGAGAGAAATGGATTGTCACCCATAAGACAAGAAGAGGGAAACCATTCATGAAGAAGGAAGAATCTTACATAATCGGTACCTGTCCACCTTCACCTTTTGACTATAAACCTAAAATTGGACAAAGGATCAGAACCCGAAGACAATACCTTCACCCAACTATGGTACCCCCGGAAAAAGGTGGATCCAGAGATGTTAGACCCAATATTATTATTGGGTTGACTCGCTTTCCCACTGGGATAACCAATACAAACAAAAAATAGGATTGATTAGTTTATGGTCATAGTTTTTTTCCCGACTAATTACAAATTGTCTGATCTTTGAGACACATTCATCGTTTCCTGAGTATCGAGACAACAATTGCCATGATGATGAAGTTGTGACTATCATTATTACATGTATTCTGTGTTGAAAGCTCATCTTTGTTAACTAAATCACTTAGAAATTAAAAAGAAAAGGTAATTTGTGTTACATTAATACAAACAAAAAACTCTCTAATTTTGAGTCAATAGACTGAAAAGATGATTAAGAAACATCTTAATCATTAAATTAATTATCTTCTTTTGGAGAAAAAAATCTTGTTCCTTCTTTTAGATACAATTATAGAATTAATCATAATCGAGTCTGGGCCAATTAGATTAAATCGAGACATTTTAAACATCAATTGGTAAATTGTTGAAATTGGATAATTAAGGAATTCTAATGATAATTAAACCAGGAACCAGGAAAAAACAAACGGAACAATAGAAAATCAGATTAATCCTAAATTAATTGTATAAATCATTTGAGAAGATGTAACAATATTTAAGACAAAAATCGTAATTATCCAACCTGATATTCAAGTAATTGTTGAATGATAATTGGTGATTAAATCATCACCAAGATAATCACTTGTAGCAATTGAAAAGACATATGAAACAACCAAAATAGTGAACACGATTATTGTAATTAGTTTGGACAATTGAGTTCCTGTTGGTGGCGATAATGATGATTATGATAATCAAGATTAATCTGATACCAGTGATGACAATTAAAGATAATGATTAATCTAAAATGGTTGGAATTAGCCAATTCAAAGTGTACAAAAAAAAAACCTTGAATCGGATTGAAGTGTTTAACCAAATTTAATGAATCGTCATTAAAATTACAATCAATGTGAAGGAAACATTGAATGTTAACACTTACTTAATTATCAAAACAATTACAATAATTATCGTAATGATAACAACAAGTCTGGTTAAATGGTCACTACAACTGGTCAACTGAATCGTAATTTATTTTTAAATAGATACCACTAACTGGCAATTCTTGCCTAACTGTTACTACTTAATTGTAATAATACAAACTTTTGTTTCCCGGATTAACTTATTAAGATACAACATCAACATCTCACTCGTCATCATTTATTATTATTCTTTGATAATCATCTTCTCTCTCTCTCTCTCTCTCTCTCTCTATCGTTCTCTTGGTCAGCTCAGGTTATTTTCAGAAGAAAAGAAAGAAAAAAAAAATCGTTATCACAAAACTTTCACTTCGCCGAGAACTCATACTGTATCTTCCTTATTATTTATCATCTTCTTCCTCTCCCCTTATCTTTTTTTATCGTTTCTCTCTCATCATCTTTTTCTACTTTCGTTGTTCTCTCGTCTTAAATCAGCATCACAACGACTGACCAACCAGTTGAGTGTAAACACATCACCGTTTACCTGTTTACCTGAAATCCATTCATCTTATTTCTTGTTATCCTTTTGAATATATTAACTTTTTCATCGGTTACTTGTATTATTGAGTTAAAAGTGAACAAATCAAATTTGGGTCAATTCATCAACTTTATTGGTCTATTTGTGTTTTCTATTGGTTATCAGTTTGATTGGTAAATTTTGAGAAGAAAATTTTGATTACTTTCCAATTCTTTTATTATAACTTTGTGTGTTTCTCTTATATTTATCTTGTTTAATTTTACTCGAGAATCTTTGTTTTTGTGATCGTTGACCGAACATTATGTCCAGATATCTAATGGATTGTTTTCCTTTAATCGTCTTCCTCTCGGTAATACTTATTGTCTTCGTTGATGCTTCATCAGGACCCAAATTGAAAGTCAACTTTGGTCTTAATTTACCGGGTCTAAGCTTTAAATTACCTTCCATGTCCCTTCCGAAAATGAAAATCACTGCGGTCATCGCTCGTTCTCAACCTAAACGTCCAATGAGAATTCAACTTCCATCTATTAGTCTTCACGCTAAATCATTGGAAGACACTTGGGGTAACGAAGGTGGTGGAAATGGTGGCGGAGGTTATGATAATGGCTACTCAAACCAGGGAGAAGGAAACAATTATGGTAACAATGGTGGTAATGGTAATGGCGGCGGATGGTCAAATAATGGCGGTGGTAATAATATCGATGAAGGAAAACCTTATGAAACTGCTTATGCAAGTTCAAATGAAGAGGAATTTGTAGATCCTCATGATGAAGATAATTTTGAAGAAAATGAAGAAGACCAAAGTGAAACTAATCCACAATATGATCAAGAGCAACCATCTATTGATAATCAATCCAATCAATCAGTTAATTACACTGAAAGTCAACCAATTGCTCAACCACAATCTCCAATCTTGATTAATACCAATGACTATAAAAGTAACAATGGATTTTATCAAATGAATCCAATGAACAATTATAATCAACAAATACCTGACAAAAAATCACAAGAGAAATCAACTAATCATGGACAAATTAATCAACCAATTTATGCAACCGCGAATCCGATAATCATGAATCAAGAAAATACTAATCAACTTAATCATGGTCCACCCAAATATAATCAATATGCTTTGGCAAGTCCGGTAAAGAAAACTTGAATCAAATTAACTTGAATCATCTTAAATTATCCTAAATTAACTTGAATCAAACTTTTCTTCCTAATAGTTACCATCAAATGATAACAGGAATAATGACAATTTACTCAATGGTGGACAAAGTGTTAATCATGGTTATCGACAATTTATCGTTAAATTGCCTCATAACTTTCAATTGCCTCATCTCCCACTCAATGATAACCGATACAATGGTCAACAGCAGCAAAAATTTAACGGTAATGATAATGATAATTATATCCATAAATTACCTTACCTGAAACAATTTATAGTCAGTAATGAGCCCATGCAATTAACTCCCAACGCCTTAGTAATAAGAAACAATCAAAATGTTGGTTTTAAGCCACAACAACAATCAACTAATCAACCTGATTTCTCAAAGAGATCGATGTTTAATCAAAATTACTACAGATATGCAATTGTCGCTTAATTAGTCGCATTTAATTTCACCTTTATATAATCTCATTCATCATTTATATTCTCATTCCTTATAATCTCAAAATATATTTGATATAAATTGAATACAGGGTTACATTTAAATATTATTAGTTAATTGTAAAACTAAAGTGCTATTCAATCAATTGTGAACATCTAATGTTCAACATTAATCACTAATTAATAATTGTAAGACTAAATTACCAAAAATACCGCATCTTAATATGCTAATAGTATGAAACTCATTTTCTTAATTTTTTGCAATCATCTTTTTCAATTATTAATTCTTATGACAATAAACTTTTTTTTTGATCTAATAATGATTTACAATTTAATTTGATTTGAGAATCGAATGATAAATTTGTATTATATTGAATTCAATTCAAGATAGTTAAAAAATCAAATGTGATGTTGATGAATTGAAATGATTTAAATCAGTCGTGGTTGATGTTTAATTAAGTGCATCAGTGGTCAATGACCATTCCCTGAAAGAGTCTAAATCAGGGTGACCAAAACCTTCGAGAACAGTGAAAGCAAAGATAAGTGCATATCGATAACCATAAATTAGCTCTTGGACACCATGAGGGTTTTCATAGGACGATGTCCAAGCGGCATATCGACCAATTTTAGGTTCAACTAGTAAAGGTGTGTGCGGTTCTGGCCCTGGTCCGGTTAAAAATTCAGTTCGTCCACCACCAAAGTCTACATCAGCCGTTGATAGCCAAAGAATCGAAGTGACAATTAGATTGGGCGATCGTAGTTTATCAACGTGTCTGAATTCACTAAATTGGACGATCGGATGGTAACGAGTGAATTGACAGACTCCATGAAACATTAGATACTCTTCAGGTAAACCAAATGCTAATCCAACTGCAGCCTAACAATTAAGAGGATAATTAAGATATTTGAACAGTTAGAGTAGTAAAGGATCAAAATCACGATTAACTTGACAATTGACTGTTGATTATAAATAAAACGCAAGTTTTAAGACCAAGTAATCATTTCCTAGTCTGACTTTTGATTTGTTAAGCTAATTATATATACATATTAACCTTAATTCAATTAGATTGTCAACTTATAATTGATTGTTACTCGTAAGTAAATACAATTTAATGCTCTAATGTAATCACATTTTATTGTATTAATTATCATTTTTTTTCCTTCTCATTATGATTGTATTTCCAAATCAATGAGTTGATTCAGTTTTTCTTGTTTCCTTCACTGATTACGAGTGAATTGTAAACATAATCATTTTTGATTCAAGTCTTTCCTTTCATGTTAACGTTTCAATATATTGGTCGTTCTGGTGTTGCTCAGAAATTGAAATCATCTGATTATTTCATAACCAGGAAGTGAATTAAAAAGTTAATCTTCATAAAGTTAAGTCTATGTGACAATTAAATCTTACCCGAGCAGCTTCAGATGTATTCTTGATCAATTGGAAATCATTTTCCGTTAAAACTCCTGAACTTGTACCATTGCGAAATAAATTGTGAAGATTAATCCATTTAAGGTTGATTGATTCTCGATTGTGAAAATTAGTTTGACCCATTCGGTCAATCACTTTCATAGCCAATTGTCGCAATTTAATTGTATCTTCCTGAGAAACCAATTCATCAGTAATCATGGTTCCACATCGTTGTGGATTAAGGCCAAGTTCAGCTTCCTTTTTGTATCCAGTTGGATGACAGGGAACATCATGAAGGCTGTTAATTAAGAGTAGAAAAAATTAGAATTGATTGTTTTTTTTTCTTGAAAGGTTAATCAATCGTCCATTGATCAATTAAACAAAAGTAATGTCACTTTCTCTCAAAATTAAACTTTTAATGGGAAACAGAAAGTTAATTTAACTTGTATCAAGCTCTGTTTTTGCTGTTTTTTATTTATATCTTTGAAAACCAGATTCAAAAATACTGGTTACCATCAATTGACCTCAATACTGACCTTAAACTGCCTCCAGAGGATAAGTGATCTTAGTTACAGTTAATCTAGTTCACTGATATTACTAACCTGATTTGTGGAAAATGTTGTTCAGTTGTGGCTAAAAAATTAAAGAAAGAACCTTCTTCCTCTTCATACTGACCACCGATCTGTGATTCTTGCTGACCAGTGGCTAAGGTTGTTGAATTGGGTGTTGAACTTGGCGAGGAAGATGATGGTGATTGTTCATCATTTACCTGTGGTGGACTGAGTATATACAATGTTAATGAGACTAGTGAAATCATTAGGATAGTTAATTTAACAGAGGAGGCATCCCAGGAAGCGGAAGCTGATTTCTTTGACTTTTCATTGCTCCTTTTGTCAACTTGTGAGTTGTCTTTCATTATTGATTAATTGGTTTGAGTTTGTCGGAAAATAATCCAGAATGAAATTGATTCCGTTACTTGTGAAATTAAGATGATTTGATTAACAAAGGTAAGCAAATTACACTAATTAAAAAAGAGGAAATTAACAATAATTTCACATTTTAAAACAAATTGAACAGTTTTTGTTGGTGAAGTTAATCAGCTGAAGGTAAATGGAACCCGAATAATGATGCTGATGTCCTAAAATTATCAGTACAACGACCGAGAATATAAAGGTAACAGCAACAATCAGTAAACTTGTTGTTCCTTATTCCAACTACTTACGTCTTCAAGTTACCTCAATGATGATGATCCTGTTTTTGAGGGAAAAGATGATGAAGGAAGATGAAGATGAAGGGGAAAGGTTATAAGGGAACAGATGAAAGATGAAAAGCAAAACTTGTTCTTTCAGACATTCAAATCATAACGGTAAACCCGAAGTATTCATTATCTTTGCATGAATTAATCTCCATTTAGTCTGAGGTTTTGTTCATGCTCAGTATTTGAAATCATTTGATCCTGTGATCGATTAAGATGAGGATAAAGTTAGGTGCATGTTTTAATGGTTCACTTTTTATTCATCGTTTGACTTACAAGGATTAACAGGTAATCCAAGTTATTAGTTAGCATATTGTCTTATTGGAGACAGATTGTTATTAATGAATTAAGGAAAAGTGTAAAAGAAAACTAATTGAGTGCTAAATTTTCAGATTTTGACTTTCAACTGGAGGATATTGAATAACAATCCACGAATTTTGACCATTGAAGATGAGGTTTGACGATGAAATGATTGTGATTAGAACCAAGATCCTGAGTAAAAGGTAAATTATCCAAAGATTAACAATTTGAAATGTTCATTGCGAGTTAAATAGACTCACCCAGTGATTCGAATATATTGTTTTTCGCTGACAATTTAGCGATTTCACACAAAATATTATAAGGTTTCATCATATTCCTCCAATCATATGGATCACTGGAATCGTAATCGTTTTGAGCTGCAATCATCTCTTTCATTTTATTTGAACGATTAGTTAACAGAGATTTAGGATTAGGTTCGATACATTCTAACCCGGCCATTAATCTCGAGCAACGTAGCCAACTTTTTGCAAGCCTTCGAAGATTCAGTGAATCGAAGTTGAATTAAACGCAATTAAAGAACAATTTACATTTGATAAATGTTATTAAATAAAACAAAGTTAATCATAACTTACCAACAATAAGGATTTTCTGATGATTTACCAGAAATTGTCGCTAATTTACGTTGTCGATGAAATTCTTCCTCATCTGAGCTCTCGTAAATTATATCATTTATTTCAAGACACTCGATCATTTGTGATTTGATTGAATTAAATTGTCCTTTCCATTCATCTTCATCACAAACTGTTCGAAATCCCAATTCTGTCCACAATATCGTCACATTAGAAGGGCCAATAAAATCATCTTCGTCACCTTTCATCCCTTCTAGACTATTATCACTATCCAAGTCCAATGAATAATCTTCACCGAAACCTAATGACAGAATAAAAGTTAATTATTTATTCGAAAACACCAATACCGAAAGACCGAAAGAATTGTTAATTGAAATAAGAATTAACTTACTTTGTGAAATTAAGATAAAAAGATGAATAAAACTAATCAGCTTCATTTTCTCAATAAAAATTGAAGAAATTGATCAAATTTTAAGATTTACTTTTTATTTCATTACAACTCATTATTCATTTCCAACTGGACAATCAATACAGTTATAATCTAGACCAAAACTAAAGTTAGATACAGAAAGAGAAAGACAATCATCAAAAAAATTATTGAAGATATTTTTTATTAAATCGATTGGACATTTTCAAATTCATAACATATATACTATTTAGTATATATTATATAATAAATGACTTTGAGGAATAAATTAAAACTAATATCCAAGGATAATGATCTAAATGAAAGTATTGATTAGTTGACAAACTATTGAGATGTGAAAAGAAACATGACTTACCTGAGAAATTCAAGTTAATTATACAATAGCTGTTTAAGGTCCATCTAACAAATAGCTCCATGTACTGGGTGACAAAGTGACTTCCAAGAACCTTGCGAATTTCTCAAAAGTTCTTGATCAGAATTCGATCATGAAGAGAATCAAAAATCACCTCAACTCTTTTTTCAAATTCTATAAAATATCAGTTAAAATGAAAAATTTTCTTTTATAAGATTTGAAAGAACCTCTTCCATTACCTTGAGCTTCTCTCCGCTTGGAGCTCCAGCTCATGGAAATTTCTTGACTTTTGAGTCAAAAGTCTTGACTGGTTGATGATTTAAGGGTCTAGTTTTCGGTGAACCTTTTGTACCTTTTTGTATCACCTTAAGTAATCAACTTAATTTGTTAGATATTATCAAAATGATTAAACATCCATCAATCGGGATGTCAACTCTCCTTCAATCCATTTTGGTCAAAACCTTGGGAGTAACAACCTTTCAGCTCCAAGAAAAAGAGCCTTACAATCAGCTACTTGTGAATGGAGATATCGCTGGTTACATGAGTATCATTGAGTCAACATTCATGGACCTGGTTAGTGAATTTTCCACTGCTGCCAATTCATCTGATTCTTCAGCTGCTTTGGAAGTTTACACCAAGTATACCAGTGCGACTGAGATGAATGGCTCAGGCCACCATTCAAAATCTCAATTCTCATCTTCAACTAATTCAGATTCAAGATATTCAAAAGAGATTAACGAAAGTAAAAATGCTGGAACTCTATTGTTGCGATTTCTAATGGAATCTTATCAGAGATCAGTTACAATGGAAAAAAATTCTCTCTCTCCCACATCCAGTTCAAAGCAATTAATTTCTGAAATTCGTGGACAGTGTGTCAATTTTTCTATTCTTTTGTTAACTAATACCTTTTCACCTTCATTTGATTGTGGTAATCAAACCACTTCCCTTCTAACTCCATTTATCTTGCACACCAGTTGGCCTACCGATTTTATTTTCGATCTCGCCTCAACTGTCTACAATGAGGATAATGTTGAAGGTAATTTCGCCTTCATCTTTCAGCCTATTCTTTTCAATCTATGGCAAATGATGTTACAGTTTTGTAGTATCACTTACGAGGATCGATATAAACTGTCCCTTCATGCATTAACAGAATTATGTGATATTAAGATTGCATCGATTAGACCAATTTGTAGTTTGGTAAGTCTTTAAACTCAATCTCGTCTCAGTTTTAAGTATTAACAATTATTTTTATAATTTTCTCATTTTGACAGTTGACAAGAATGGAGCATTGGTTACCTGAGTCTCTTACCAATGCACCAGGTCGTGAATTCTCAAGAATATCGTTTATGGCTCCTTTTCTCCGTTTATCAGTGTTTGCTGAAGATGATGTAAGTCTAATTCTCTCTATTATATTAGCCTCAAATCTCGCTTATTAAGCCTAAAAATGTTTAATATTAACATAAATGTGTCGATAAAACTGAATGCTTTTTCTTTAACCCTTTGTGCTTCGAAAGAACCAATTAGGTTCATTGAACTGATAGAAAGCTCATGTTTTTACATGTATCATCATCCTTTCCATTGTGTACCGAATTGACTTTGATTGTTAGAATGTATCTTTCTACTTTTCTATCAAACTCCTCTTTTAATCAATTTGTTTCATTTAAATCTTTATTTTTCTTTCCTTTAACAGCCTCGAATTGTTGAGAGATTTTATGGTGAAAGCACATTAAAACCCGATGCCATCAAATCGATCAATGGCTACTTACAAAATCAATTGGAATTCATTCGTAAAGAATTGTATAATATATTCTATGGTATTTTAGTCAACCGTTCAAGTCGTGACGGTGCCATGAATTACTTATCAGAGGCTTTGAAGAGAAACGAGAAAAAGGCTCAAATGCAAGCTACTGAGAAGAATCTCTCACCGGATGGGTTTATGCTCAATTTACTCTCTGTTTTACAATTACTATCAGTGAAATTAAAATTGGACAGGATTGATTTACATTATCCTTACCTTTCATCAAGTCGGGTAGTAATTAAAGCCGATGAAACAAGATTGAAGATTTCACCAGCAGAAGCTGATAAGTGGCAGAAACAATTCGCCTCTGAACAAAATGGAACCTCATCAGGTGAACCTAAATTTATCACTGAATGTTTCTTCTTGACTTTAGTCTGCCACCATTTAAGTATAATCCCTTGCATTCGTCGATATACTCAACGTAAGCGAGCAATCAATGATTATAATAGGATGGCAGATGAATTACAATCAGTTGAAGCGAGTTGGGCAAATGATCCGATCAATGCGAGGAGACATAAACTTACTATCAAACGTTGGCGTGAACAAGTTCGTCGTCTTGTCAGAGCTAAATATTGTGCTGAAGCAGCGATTTTAGATCAACAATTGTTAAGTCGATGTTTGTCTTTCTACACAATGGCAATGAATTTCCTTTTGAAGAGTGTAGGATATGATGCGAGTCATGATTTCAATCTTCCTTTGCCCAATCAAGTACCTGAGGTGTTTGCTGCTTATCCCGAATGGTACATAGATGATATAGCTGATTTCCTACTTTTCACTATCCAGCATGTGCCTCATGTTATCGAGTCTGATCCAGGAGGAGATGATATTGCCTTGTTCATCATTGTCTTCATCTGCTCATCTAATTATGTAGCTAATCCATACCTGATTGCGAAACTTATCCAAGTGATTTTTGTATCAAGTCCACAACTCCATCCAATGTCTGGAGGTTTTCATGAACGAATCCTTTCTCATCCATTATCAAAAACTCATCTCGCTCGAGCTTTAATGAAGTTTTATGTTGATGTTGAGAGAACCGGTGCTTCCACTGAATTCTATGACAAATTCCAAATTCGCTATCATATAAGTGTTATCTTTAGATCTCTTTGGAAAAATATTTACCATAAACAAGCAGTTATCGAAGAGTCAGAAAGTGGTAACCAATTCATTCGCTTTGTTAATATGCTCATTAACGATACAACTTACCTACTAGATGAAAGTTTAGAGTCACTAAAAAGGATTCATGAGGTACAAGAAGCCATAGAGAATAGGGAAGAATGGGCTAAACAGCCTCAAGAAATTCAACAATCAAGACAAAGATCATTACTAAATGACGAAAGACAATGTCAATCATATTTAACTTTAGCGAGTGAAACTATGGATATGTTTCACAATTTGACTGAGACAATTCGAGAGCCTTTTTATAAGCCTGTGAGTATAATCGTTTCTTTCGTTGGTTTCCAGTTTTCATCACGAACCATTTCATTTCTTTTCTTTTTTCTCTAGGAAATAATTGATCGTCTAGCTGCAATGTTAAATTACAATTTACAACAATTATGTGGACCCAAGTGCAAAAATCTGAAAGTCAAAAACCCTGATAGATATGGATGGTCACCTAAAAAAGTTTTGAATCAAATCACTGATATTTATTTACACTTAGACTCTGAAAAGTTTTGTGAGGTATTGACGACCAATTGATTGTCTCTATTGAGAAGATAACTGTTTCTCCATTTTTCTCTCTACCTTTAGGCCATTGCAGCTGATGAAAGATCTTACAGCAAAGCTTTATTCGAAGATGCAATACTGTATGAAGAAGGCGATGATTAAGACTGAACCTCAAATCTACAAATTCCATGAGATGGCCAAGATGGTGGAGAAAATGAGAGAAACAAATGTTAATATGGATTATAGTGATGCTCCTGAAGAGTTCAAAGATGCTCTTATGGACACTCATGGATGAACCCGTCATCCTACCAAGTGGAAAAATTGTCGACCGATCAGTTATCATTCGTCACTTGCTCAATTCAAATACTGACCCATTTAATCGTCAAACATTAACCGAAGACATGCTTGTAATAGGTAATTATCACTTCCAATCCATTTTAGCCTTGCGAATCTCTGTTGACTTATCTCTTCCTTTCTGCTCTTCTAGATACCGATTTAAAAGCTCGCATTGAAGAATGGAAGAAATTGAAACAACAGTCTTTCAAAGAGTCTCAAAGTAGCCCAAGATTGGAATAGTCGCCTCGATTCACTACCAAACAGAATTAAAACCCAAGAAACTAAATCAACTTTAATTCTTAGGAAATGTCGACACGAGTAACTTTCTTGGCAACTGATCACTTGTGAAGAGAATGAGAAGAAAATTAACGAAACAAGTGCATATTGTCTGAACCTATTTCCATTCAAACTGTTGAAATTCAAAGAACAAAATATATTTTGTAAATTCACAAACTCATCTAGTTGATTATTGACCCGAAAACCACAACAGAATTCGAAAGGATAAAGAATCAAAAATTGTAGATCGCGCTCAAGTTACTCTCAATTTAGAGAACCAATGAAGTTGCTCACATTTTGTTTCCTTTCAACTTTTCTACTGACAAACTTGAGTTATTTTCATTTTGTTCTTTCTGAATACATTTTGTCATGAGAATTGGTTCTAATTTAATTTTCTTTAGTCTACTCTAGTTGATAATAAGTCTAAGTAAGAAACTAATCCATCTTTCCTCTTACTTTGTGTTTCTCATTCTCTGTTTTCATTCTCTTGTGTTACCAGTTTTGGATATTCATCTCCAGCTTCTTAGGCTTGTTCACCGACCGTTTTCATGTAACCAATTGTGTCATTTTCAGGTAACTTAGTGAAACAATCAACGAATAAAGTCACAATGAGAACGATTTGAGGTGAATTTGTTTTAATTCTTAAATAGTGTGATTATTGTGATTATTAAATAAATACATTTGTTTTTACATTTATATATTTTCATATAATGGTTTGTACTCTTAACGTTAACTCTCTTTTGGTATTACAAAATATTTACAAATTATGATCAATTATTTACAAAGGCGTCAAGTGAAAATGATGACATTCACTGAATGTTAGTCCACATGGTCACATGGTCAAACAGTTTGAGGTACATGGGCTGAAGTCTGTTCTGTTCTTTACGAATACAGATACAGATGAATGGTAGAAATATTTGTAATAGGTTAGGGTTGGTTAGGTTAGATTCCATACAGTTTATGAACAATATTTTTCATATGATCTGATGAAGGCTCTTGCATAAGAGTCGGAGATTTTGAGAACATTTTGATTCTCAGCTAAAATCTTTTGACCTAAATTTGAGCTGAGATCAATTCCTGATAAGCCATTTCGCTCTTGCTTCTGCTTGATTGGCAATTTTAATCAGTTTTCATGATCCTTGTCATCAAGAAGATCAAGATGAGACACTTTCATCCTAATGTAGATGGCAACACTGTGGCCTTTTCAAGGCCTCCTTTATCATAATCCGTTTTGCTGATTAATCCAAGTCCTGATGGACTGATTGGCTCACTAATACAATTTTATCAACCATTTCAATAGTTATTTGTTGATACACTTAAAAATGAGCTGACAAATGGATTTAAGACCAACAATAAGCAAAAACGTCAAGTACTTTGGGAGAGAGAGAAGGAAACTGATGAAGAGAAAAAAATGGTTGGCATTTTATACGCAAACAGATTTCGCGCATGCTCATTTAATATAATTGAGCTTAACTACTCTAACTAATCCTTACTAACTAGATGGGAACCTCCCACATCCTTTTCCTTTCTCTTCCATTTCTCAAGGTTTCTTTATAGGTTTTTAAAATTTTCTCACGCTTTAGCTTTTTTGGTAAGACTCAAGATACAGTCGACGCAAAAAGTAAGTTGAAATTGTGATTCTGAAAGAAAAATGATTATAGCTTTTTAATTAAACTTCATTTACACAATTTAACTATCAAACATGATTAACACAATCAATTGGAATAATTTTTAGCAATTTAAATTTAGATTCATTTGATTACGAGAGCTGTAGCTTCAAAATTAGGCAATCACAGGAAACAATAAGTAAGTTGAAATTTTCAGTTCTGCTCATTTTCTGGTTAATTATTTATGGTAGAAAAAAATTGTTAATTTGGTTGTTTATACAGCCACAGAAATTGAGTTTGGAACAAAAATTATTTCAATTCGCGCATTGAGTGATTAAATTGTGATTAACTTGATTATCTTATCAAAAACCCAATGTTTTTCAATCTTATCCATTCATAGATTAACGATTGAATTGATTGTGTGCGCGAGTGATTTAATTTTTGTTCCAAACTCAATTTCTGTATTATTACGATTAATTTGAGATATTTTTGATCAAAATCGGATAAGAAATAAAAAATTTTTAAAGGTTGAATTTAACATCGGGCTCTATGGTCGCAAGGGACGAGCCAAGGAGGACAAGTGACCATCATATGGAGGTTCGGAGTCAATTCCACAATCTTTTAAGTAAACATTGAAGTTAATCCTTTTGTCTTTAACTAAATTTGAATAGAGAAAATTAAAATTTTCTAATGTTCATAGGTATTGCTGCTGGATAGGTTAGGAATTCTAGGCCCTCCGGGCCATTCATTCATATTGAATACTAGGTTGAGAGTCCGAGGCCCTCCGGGCCGTTAATTGTTATAATTAATTAGGTTTACTTCTCACACCTAACCAAACCTAATCAAACCAAACCAAATCAAACAATCACCAAAATTCTCACCTCTTTTTATTAGTTTTTTATATCAAAAAATTTGATAAAAATTGGTGAAAACTTGTCCTTTCTCAAGCTAAACAACCTTTCAAAAGGATTATCCCAAAAGGATTAAGATTTACTTTTAAGGGGATTGTGGAATTGACTCTACACCCATATGGATACCATTCAAAAGGATTATAATTAAGGCGCTTAAACAATTATAATTAGGATGAGAAAGAGTGAAAAAGCCAAAGGGAAAAGATGAAAAGATGAAAAGATGAAATTGGTAAATTAAGGTAATTGGTCCAAACGTTTGTGTCCATATCTCGGTAAGTAATTTACTTATAGTTTTAATTTATATATATTTCAGCTCAGCTAATTAAGAGCTTTCTAATGATATATAACTTTCGTGTGAATATAAACTAATTCACTAAAATTAGTGGCAGTCCCAATGGTTCACTTGGACCAGAAAAATGGGTAAAAAATTAATGTTTTCAGTTAATTGCTGGTCAAGCAATTTACCGATTAATTTGATTTATATATTAATCGAACCTACTAAACAAAACCTTTGATTTGGTGTACAGGGCGTAACAACCAAATATCCGGACTTTTGACGCTTTACCATTTCTAGGCTATTTATTAGGTCAGAGTTTTTTCTTCGCGATTCAACAGAGAAAATGTGAAAGTTTTGTTGTGTTCTGATTCGGAGCTTTTCTATAAAGCCGTTACCGAGCCGTGGCCTCTCAAAGTCGGAAAAGTGGTACATTTAGATGCAAAACTTTTTTCGAGAAATTTTTCCCGGCCATTTGAAAGTTCTGAAATTATCAAACAAACCGAGCTAATCATCTTTTTGATTTGACTTTTCGTTCAGGAGTAATTGGCCTTCAAAGGTGTGTACTTATCCCGTTGACATTCACATGAAATTTTTGACCTTTTTTGATTGTCTTGAAATTGAGTCCTAGTAAATTCCCGATACCGAAATTAGTATTAAAGACAAAAAAATTCATTTCAATGTACTAGACGGTCTGGAATCAGCGCCTATTTGTTTTATTCAGTAGCCTAATTGGCCTTATGGTAAACTTGTTAAAAGTTTAACGATTAGGATAAAATCGGCCTAAATACTAAGCGTCAAAAGTCTGGATATTTGGTTGTTACGCCCTGTATAATAATCTAACTGATAATTGTTGTTGATCAAAAAGTTGACTGGTTTCAATGAAGCTCAATGTTAACTCTATGGGGAAAACCAAATATGTTGTTGTTGTTTCCCAATGAGACTAAAGTTGTAGTCGCGGCTTCTTGAGTAGTAGAATCGTGAACTGAACTCGAGCTAATGATTGATTCAAACCAACAAAGAGTTAAAACAGAAAAAATATGAAAAAAAGTTGAAATCAGCTAATAAACCTTGGTAATTACCAAGATTAATTTTTGATGACCACTCAGCTAAAAATCTTGAAACAGATTAGGATAATATCACTTGGTAAAACAACAATCGAATCTCGCCTTAATTGATTTCGGTTGGTGAAATGCAAGTTTTTGATTGAGGATTTTAGAAATCTTCGCTTAGCTATGATTACAAATCGAATCCTAATTGGTGAAAAAGTTATCTCAATCTGATTTGATGTCAGAGTGAAGCTTGATCGCGGTTGGTGAATACGGACCTAAGTGTAAATAAATATCAGTGATTTGATTCAAAACTTTTTTAGGTGACCATCCATATCTATCAGGGTTTTTGACTTTCAGATTTTTGCACTTGGGTCCACATAATTGTTGTAAATTGTAATTTAACATTGCAGCTAGACGATCAATTATTTCCTAGAGAAAAGAAAAGAAAAGAAATGAAATGTTCGTGATGGAAACTGGAAACAACCAAAAGAAACGATTATACTCACAGGCTTATAAAAGGCTCTCGAATTGTCTCAGTCAAATTGTGAAACATATCCATAGTTTCACGCTAAAGTTAAATATGATTGACATTGTCTTCGTCATTTAGTAATGATCTTTGTCTTGATTGTTGAATTCTTGAGGCTGTTTAGCCCATTCTTTCCTATTCTCTATGGCTTCTTGTACCTCATGAATCCTTTTAGTGACTCTAAACTTTCATCTAGTAGGTAAGTTGTATCGTTAATGAGCATATTAACAAAGCGAATGAATTGGTTACCACTTTCTGACTCTTCGATAACTGCTTGTTTATGGTAAATATTTTTCCAAAGAGATCTAAAGATAACACTTATATGATAGCGAATTTGGAATTTGTCATAGAATTCAGTGGAAGCACCGGTTCTCTCAACATCAACATAAAACTTCATTAAAGCTCGAGCGAGATGAGTTTTTGATAATGGATGAGAAAGGATTCGTTCATGAAAACCTCCAGACATTGGATGGAGTTGTGGACTTGATACAAAAATCACTTGGATAAGTTTCGCAATCAGGTATGGATTAGCTACATAATTAGATGAGCAGATGAAGACAATGATGAACAAGGCAATATCATCTCCTCCTGGATCAGACTCGATAACATGAGGCACATGCTGGATAGTGAAAAGTAGGAAATCAGCTATATCATCTATGTACCATTCGGATAAGCAGCAAACACCTCAGGTACTTGATTGGGCAAAGGAAGATTGAAATCATGACTCATCATATCCTACATCAAAAGGAAATTCATTGCCATTGTGTAGAAAGACAAACATCGACTTAACAATTGTTGATCTAAAATCGCTGCTTCAGCACAATATTTAGCTCTGACAAGACGACGAACTTGTTCACGCCAACGTTTGATAGTAAGTTTATGTCTCCTCGCATTGATCGGATCATTTGCCCAACTCGCTTCAACTGATTGTAATTCATCTGCCATCCTATTATAATCATTGATTGCTGTTAGTATATCGACGAATGCAAGGGATTATACTTAAATG